GACTAAACTTTTAAATTTTTTTTTTTGGTTGACAGTTGTCACGGGTGTTTGAACAAAGAATGAAAATGCACTTATGGTTTGATTTCACTTTTCATTTAATCACAAGTTTGAAAACGAACAACCACTCGCCCATGAACCCGTCCTATTCCACTGTCTCCATTAGAAAAAAAATACGAAAGGAAATATTTTCAAGAGGAGCGATGAATTGAATTTTTTATTATTCTCATTTCAACTATCCTGTGAATTTTCTTCAATTTCCTGGGCTGCATCGCTCACTCAAAAGTTCAGTCGAACGTTAAAGGAATGGAAATGCGATATGCAAATATCCAATTAGCCGAGCGCATGCACGAAACACGAGGCCAACTTGGCAACGTTTTATCATCCCTTATTCCCCCTTTGTTCTTCTTTCATCTCCACCGAGAAAGAATCCAATGGAAAATCAATTTTTGTCAGAAATGGGATAAAAAAAAAAAAGAAACGCGCCTGGGGCTGAGGCTTTTGTTGTGAATGCACTGGGAAACCCGGGGGTGGGCACCCCGTGGGCTTTTTTTTTATTTTCAGTGGAAATAACACGTACGCGGGAGATAACAGCGGGGAACGATTGTCTACAATTTCATGATAATTTATCGATCATCCGAGGACTGATTGATGAGAAATATTTTTTTTCGTGGGGCTGGCGTTTTCGGAGGCCAATCTCGGATATGAGGGTAACCAGGGGCTTAATACCTGCAGGCCATCACCTGGGGGGTCTCCCTCACGGCGTTTTATCGAAGAGATTATCGCTGGAGGATGACAAATTTAATTATTACCGTGATTTTTCATTTTTCGAGAGCCGGGGAAAATGTTCAGTCGGTTGTTGAGTGATAAAATGCGATGAGTGACTTTTACGTTCCAGAAATATCTATTTATCGAAATAAAATGGCCTCAAGGGGAAATGAATGACTTTTTGTTATTAAAAACCAATTGTTTTTTAGGAAAACAGGGTAAATTATGCGGACACCTTTTTAAAAGAAAACAACTTTGTTGAAGAGCACTGAAAATTATCGGAGATTCCTTCGGAAAATTCCAGAAAATTAAGGCGACGTCCCTAAAAATAAAAAGTTTTTCCTCTGCGAAACTAGAGTTGATTAGATGTACCTCTTCGCTAGTGATTCCTTGAATTTCGTTGTGATGTTTCAGTTGCAAAGTGAATATTTGCGGAATAGTGCTGACAGAAATGCGAGGAGTGTACACATTGTCTCCCCCAAATTGAAAATTACTCTCCGCTCCAGTAACTCTATCGCATTACAGTCATGTTTGCAATTAAAATTAATAACTCCGACATGTCACGTTTATTTTTTCTTCCGAGTAGACAACTCCCTAATTACCCCATAAATTGAACCCAAATATTTAGAACGAAAGATTAATGAAGTACCATTTGTATAATTTAAAGAAAACATCTTTCGTCTGGATGGATAAACGGAGCTCAAAGGGAGTTCATCCGGCTCTCGAAATTATCATGATGTCCTTGTCTCAGGGTTTTGGCCAGGGGCATGAGGATATACATAAATTGTGATTCACTCCGCCCATTATGAAAATACGATTGTGTCGTGCCACCGTGTGCTCGTGATCATGATCTATTTACATGATAACTGTTGATGATTAATTTTACTTGTTAATTGAGTCGATTCCACTTTTTTTCCTTTTACCAGAACAGGGAGAAAATTTGGACAATCAGAACTTGATTCGATCGAGAATCAGACGGATTTATTTATTTAACAAAATAACCGGTAATGATATAATATCAGAATAAAAATCAAAAGAACAAAAATATCAAGCTCGGTATTTTTTAAACAATACCGCATGCTCAACGACACATGTCGCATCATACGAGATGTATTCATTAAACCCGTAAATAATCAAGTGTAATGATAATTGGAGTACACCTGGAGACCTCATGAGTTTAAATTCTCCCGTAACAACTCGCTCGTCAACATTTCGAAAGCCCGGGTTTTCGTAATTCGTGGAGCGTTAAGAGTCGAGTTGACTTCTATATTCAGTACAAAACAACAAAACTACACGAATTTTCCAGATTCCGCGCTTTGTATACACCCGTGTCCAAATGAAAAATAAGGGTTCAGCATTAAGCGCAATAGCCTGTACACAGTTCTCAGTTGTTACCTTGTAATGGAAAACATCTGTTTCTTGATGAAGTGTTTGAATATTCCCTCATCCCGGTACATGAAATGGATCTCAAGTATATGACTCCCATTAATTAGCAAGTCTGAGAAATAAATAAAATAGTTAAAGCAAACGTTCATTAATATGCGGATAAAAGGAAAAATATTTATTACTGATATATTCCGATTCTGGTTTATGGGATTTTTAATTTAATCTAATTTTCTTGGGATTCTATTGTTATCTGAAAATGAAATGAAAAATCCCCAATTATTTGTCATTTCCGTGGTTAAAAAAATCGAGAGGAATTTTTAAAGCAGAGATTTTCAAAGAGTACATCAGGCTATTCTTTTATGACCTATAAAAATCTGGTATTGATCAATTATTGAATTTCAATAATTTCTTTGCAACGAACGTCACCGTGTCTTGAACAACAATGACACTGTACTCTACTTTAAGATGACCCTCGGAAAGGGTAGAAAAAGTCAAAGATTGAGTGACTGGGTAACCGATTTCTCATCATGTGTATTTTCTGGTGTGTCCGGATGGCAGTGTCACTTGGCACCGGATATCGGCTTTCAACCGTTAAAGTTTTGAGCCAATGGGCATGTCCCGTACTGAAAAGAGAGATGATATATGCCAGCCAGTGGATGGAAAGACTGCAGTCAGAAATCACTGGAATAATTTTACAAATGGATTCAAAAATCCCAAACTCACTGAATCCAATCGTCAATGGTAAATCCCGGGATTACAATAACCGGCGACAGAGTGGAAATAACTTTTAGCCAAATGAGTTTCGCTATTTCTACATTCATCAGAACTTTGCACACATTTTTTTTGGAAAAGTGGTAGACCAACCGTGAACTCGATCGTGCGTAAGTTTTCCCTCCTCCTTCGAAGGGAATGAGATGAGAGAAAAAACGATATGGCAAGCGAAATTGGCAGAAGTCCAAGTGCCGGAAACACCGTGGGGAACTGTCCAAAGAACCTTTCTTCCACTTCTTTCGTGACCGGCGACTCAATAAATATCTCCGGTTAAATCGCCGCTTTTTATACACGAATTTTTACCTTTTTTATTAACAACGTGCCAATATCTGTGATGAATAAATTGCCTTCTCGATTTTTCAATAACTACACGAAGGGAAAAAAAAATCTCAATATTTCCACCTCTCTCAGTAAATTATCTTACGATCAATTGGTTAAGAAAATTTCATACTACACAATTGAAATTGATCCAATCAATGAAGTATCCGTTCTCCCCAACTCACCGAATAAAACATTTAAATATTCCCTCTTTATTAATTCCCATCTTCATTAGAGGTTGACTTCCGCCCGGAGGCCAGTACTCCCCGGGGCTAAATAATATTGAGGATGGTTTTAAAAAAAAAGAGACCGATGACAAAAAAAATAATACTCGTCAAGCACGTACTCGCAGAATGCATCCCTTTAATTACGTGGAAATTAATTAAAACGCAGCGGGCGTGTTGATTGCCGCATGCGTGGCACGCGATTCTGTGCAAACATGGGAATTATATGAGGCGAGCAGAAATCGCTGAGAGCACCAATTGGTGCTTCGACACCTCATTAAATAGTACCCCCAATCTAGATTTGAAATCTTCATTCTAAAACTAAATACACTGGGATATATCATGAACACCATCGGGGATTATTAATGATCCCTCGAGGGTTCACAAACTATCGGTTATAGCTCGATTCATGGGGATCTAATGGAAATCTTTAAATATTTTACACCGGGATTGCTGGATGAGAATCGGTAACGGTCTGTGGTATTTCGGTTTTTGATTACAGGGCGTTTTTACGACGATTTATTATTTTGAGATTTTTCAATTGTCTAGTGGTTTTTAGTGAAGGATAAATTCCGGTCCACATTAACTTGCGGAGATCGGTTTGAATAAAAAATTTAGACAGATATTTCAGGAATTTCAGTCAATTTTTTTTGGAGGAAATTATTTTTCTTTCTTGTGCACAGAAAAAATGCATTTTTTATTAATATTAAACATTTACATGTTTTTTTTGTATAGATTACGATTACGATTTTTTATACGATTTTTTAAATTATAGTAATTAGGTAGGGAATTGATTAATTAATCAAGTTTTGATGGACGGGATCATCTTGAAGAGCGGTATATATGATTGTCGCAATTGAATATTAATATTTAAACATAAATATTTGAAAAAATTTGAGATATTTGGCAAGATATATTTCGCCAATTTATCATCAATTATCATTCGTAATGTTTTCGCGCGGAAACTTGGCCGACTTCCAATCCCGTGATTTTGATGATTAATGGATTACCATAGCGGGTGATTTTGAATGAAACATGAATGTTTTATTAGAAATTCTCCATATTTCAGGTGAGATGAGGAAAATTAAACATTCTATTACTAGAGTCTATCCGTATACTCGTTACTCGAGACCAGAATAGTTAACTCACCGGAGGGAATGCACTCGTTATTTTAAACTCGTGGATATAACGCTTTTTGCGGTGAATATACGAAAAGTGTCTGTTTTCCAGCCAACTGCGAAGACAATTAAATTGGATTCAACCCGGCAATTGCAATTCGAGTTGCATGCAATCTCGTTCGTGTCACTCGTGAAACAGTACGTAGCGTGAAAGAATAATGAAATTGAATCATTTTGACATTGACGACTTCAATGTCGAAAACTCTCTGTTTTCTACAATTTTTATCTATTTTCGGTGGCACTACGGTGGGGAGGATTACCGCAGGAAAATATACGGGAATATTACGGATTAATGAAGCAGTGGAGATGATGGAGTTTTCACTGTTTTTTAATATTTATTGGCGTTTTATTGTTTCAGATGTGCCTCGTTGGTGCTGCACTTGGAGAAAACAGCACTGTTGATGATGTTTTCGGGATAACATCCACGGCTATTCATGGGGAGAATGAAGTGGTGAGAAAATATGATTTTCGATGGCCATTCCGCAAGGAAACTTTGGAATTGTATAAGTTTGAGGTCACGATATCGATAGAAAAATCGATTTCAAAGGAAAATTTCAATGGAAAACGATCAATTACGATAGAACATCGATTTAATTAATTTAAATGTTTCTGACAATCTGTGTAATTGAGTTTTTAATTACATGCGATGATTGTTTTTTCATTATCGATTAATATTCGAAAGAAAAATTTTTTATAGTGAAATATCGATTGATGAATATTTGAAAAATATATTTGAAACTTCTGAAGATCAAAATTGAAGATCAGGCTGGACCGAAAATATCTTCTGCCGACGGTGAAGGTACAAACTCAATTTTCTCTACCGCTCGCTGGAAAAATTGTTTTCGTTGTAGAAAGAGCGCGTAGAATTTTTTTTTCGTGGAATTTATTCACTTGGAAAAATATTATTCCCTTCTGCCAATGTGTGGAGCCAGCAAGACGCGAGGAATGAGATGAAAAAATGTCTACGAGGTTTGTACAAAAGTTCGGTGAGGAATTCACGTTTTCCGTTCGCCTTTTTCCTCTATTTTTTATTATTTTTTTCCCTCTGGCAACCACTTCGCGCCGAGTCGCACACGTGTCAAAGAACCGACTAACACTCGTGACCCCGAGAATTTTTTCACCCCAAGTTTTTTCTACATTTCAACTCTTCATTGTTCATATTGCACTCGTTCATGGTAAAAAGCAACGTCTCTCATTTTGTAAAACGTACCTGCCGTCAGTACCCTGAAGATAGGAGCGAAAATTCCTGACATAAACGCCAAGAAAAGGCTCCAGTCGATGGTGAAAAACGTGTCATGCGTAACCGATTGATTTTACCTGGTGACAATTATTCTCCAGGACAAACAGACCCTCTGATACCCGATGAAAAATATCTGCGAAGAAAATTCGCATTTGCAAAATCATGCACATCGGCAAAAATTTGACTTCAACACAAAATACGATGGAGTTCATGAAATATTAATCCCAGCGATTTAAAAAGTTTATCAGCCCCCATATTTCAGAATACATAACACCCAAAGTATCCCAGCATATCCGAAACACTCGTTTAGCTTTACGACGAGTGCATAAAGTTCTCAGAGTGCACTTGCTATTGAAACGCAGCTTCATCTTGTTACTCACTGTGCCATTTTCCTCGTTTGAAGTACGTTGCAAAAGTCAGTCGGTACCGGAGAGATGTGCGCATTTCCCTATGTGCTTTTCCAGGATCATGTGACTGGTAGAACTAAAATCCTGGAGAAAATCCCATCGTTTCAGGGTCTCACTGAGAACTTCTAAAAGACTGCGTGAACTTCGCGTATATCCCTGAATTTTAATATCAATATTAGCTTGCGATGAGAGGACAAATTATATCTTCAAATATATCGAGGCCCTTCAAAAACCCCCAATAATCTGAGGCCTTAACACGTCGAGTGAACAAACAATCCAAAAATAATGAAGAAACATGTGCACCGAGAGTAAAAAATTCGTGAAATCGTGGATTTAACACAAAAAAATGAAAAATTTCTTTTTGAATGGCTTCATTGGCAAGCGAAAAACACGACGCATTTTCTGCAGTAGTTTTGCTAACACAAGTGATACATATCCGTCAAATACCTCTGATAAACACAACTTTAGTGAAAATTTCCCTAACACAGTGAGTAGCCATCAAGCGCAGATATCCATTCTCAAATTTAATCCCGTTCATATACATATTTCATTTTGCGGCGAGCATATGCCCTCCCCTCATCCCCCCTCTCTCTACCCCTATGTAATTCTTGCTTCAGCAGGTATAGCACACATGCAAAAGGCAAACTAAATTGATGTAACTTCGCTCACACATAAAAACTAAAAGCCCCTGTGGCACTTTTTCCGACAGCCTCCATTTCCGTTATGTATTTTATTTATTTTTTTTCGTCCCCCCTCCCCCCCCCCTGACGAATTTTCCATACGATATTTGCGGAGGGACGAAATAATATCGAAGCATGCGTGAATATCGATATCCTCTCGTTCTTTTCTGGAGTTTCCTTCGTGGTCTGATTGCACATCAACCTTTTCACTCCACCCTCTCACTCTATATTTATATATTGTTGAGTCTTTCCTCCATGGTGGCATAAAACTAACTTTGCCAATGCAAGTGTGTCTCTTGCGAATCCCTCTACTATTCTATCTCAGTGGTGTAATAGTGAATGTTGGGTTGGGGGATAGACAAAACGAATGAGATGAGAGTGAGGGTAGGATACATATCTGGGTTACTCAGCCTCACGTATCTCTATTTTTCTGACTTTGGTATTTTTCTTTATCTTGAAATTGAATTTATCCGATCCTTATAGAGACACTTCTATTGGTTATCCGTGGAGTCATTCGTCTATTTCAAAATGTCGGGGGAAAAAATATTCGTTGCGTCTTATCTAGTCAAATTTTCGCTACTATTTTTTTCTTTTATTACTCGAATCGAAATTTTTATTCTCGATTAATTCCCGTTAGTGAAGGAACGGCAAGGAATGGAAATTTTGAAAAATCCATAGATTTGATTTGATGAGCCAAAAATTGAAGTTCAAAGAATATTGTTAATATAATTATTCGATTAAATGACTTTCTCGAAATTTCCATGGCAGGTAAAATTTTTGGAATGCGTTATTGACTTACCAACAGTTTTAGCACTAGTGCTGGCAATTTATCGTCTAAACACCGGAGTCATAACCACCGAGCGTTACACGCTGTAAATGTGTGCCAACCAACTTGGCAAATGAAATTTTGTAAACAATTTTCACCATGAGATGTTGATACTCATGGTGGCATATGCCCGTAGAAATACAGAGGCAATGGCCATCCAATTCGGAAATCACTTCAAGCGACTTGACGTGAGTTTCTCACTGGCGTTAGTTTAAACTTTGTGCTTTGTACAGTGAAAGCTAACGAGGTTTTCCTGTGTGCCTCACGCTCCAGCAATTCCTCGCTTTGCATCACACACGATCAACACACGAATGTACCGCTCCATGTTTTTGTTATTTTCGTATGAATTTGGGAGTATTCTTTGTTTATCTGTGTATTTTGGAACAGATGGTTCAAAGGATTTGATGAAACGTTTGCGGATGCCGCGCTATTCCGAGTTTAATCAATAGATCTGGCAGCATCAACTCAGTATTTTTGTTTATAGACCAAATCGTTGTGGTTTCTTCGTAAAAAAAATTATGGTTCACATTTTAATTCCCGGGGGTGAATATTCAGTCCGAATTTAGAACGCCTGACGTAAGACGAAAGATCGAGTCGTTCTCCGAAATTTTGAAACAAATCTGAAACGTTCGACAATTTATCTAATTTATCACTAAAAAAAAGGTATCCCCACGTGACTTTCACCGCTCATTTATTAACTAATTAAATTTCACAAGACGACCATCAAATGGAATTCAGGGGAAATGCTCATTCATTTCAGATTACACTATCGCCTTCACGCGGTCATTTACATCCTCCAATCTCGTAATGTTTTCCAACAGGAAAAATCATCCCGATGGTACCCTAATGATGTCATTAGCCATCATTGCTGTTCTAGCGATGAGAATTATTTGAAGACCTCAAATAATCGGATGGACACCACCGGAATTCCCCCGGGCTATTTTCCCAGATAAAAAACCCATCCCCGAAAATTGATGATGAAACGATGTCCAGCCGTTGGGGTAGATGTAGAAGATTCCGAATATAGCGTTATCTCAGATCTTCTCAAAGTGGCCTAACCTTTTTCCATCGCCATTACTAAAGAAGAGTGGAGCCACTTCCTCGGCGGTTGCTTTCAATAATTTGGAAGTCTAATTTACCCCACCCGAAGGACTTTAGGAGTCTCGTCTATTCCCCAAGAACTATTTCGAACGCAATCTGTCTGTCTCACCGGAAAAGGTGTGAGAAAGAGGTGATTCGGGGATTTGTGGATAGAGAACAAATTGACACCTACAATCGTCCTGAGGGGGAGAAATACACGGTTGGTTGCCCTCCGAGAGGCGCCATTTCTGGGTGGAGGGCTTGAATAATGCAGTCTGTTCGAAATGCCATCACTGGACGATATTCCAGCTGAAGGGAAAGCCCTCAAGTTTTATAGGATTCCAGAGTTTTTCAGACTTTGGGGAAATTAAACCGCTCGGAGGGAATTTATCGAAATTTTCCAACTAAAAATTCCGATTTTCATAAAAGTCAGTTCAATAAAAACTGGATCTATATATATAGTATATATTTCCCTGGGATTTTCCCTTTGAAACGAATTTAAAGTATTTTCCCGGAGAAATGAAAAATAATCGACTTTATCTTCCATTTATCGCGGCACATTTCCGATTTTGAGAGAGATAACATTTTCATTAGGAGATATTATTAACTTGAATCGATTATTACCCTTTACCTTTACCCCTTCGTCACTGAATTCTTCGTGTCGTTAATTCTCATCCCAGAATTGATGCCAGAAGCCAATCGGGACCTCATATCACAGAAGTGGGCCGTAAAGTCTATTCCCGATATGAGAAATGTCACGAGAGAACTGCGAAAATTCTCCCGACGAAAAGGCGAAGAACTAGAAGACGATATGGTTATAATCGTAAACACAGGGGAATAATCCATTTTATTGTGGAGTTGAGCTTCGAGTTTGGTGGTCGTCTCCTCGTGAAAGGAGGATACAATGGAAAGTGCCAGGAATCAGTGAGAGATGAAGGGTGAGAGGGAGGACGAGGAGGAAAAAAAAAGTAACAAAATTGTTAGAGATTCGGGCGAGAAGGTTTTTACAATGTCATAAAGTTCCTGTCTGTCTGGGATATCATTCCGTATTTAACGGACACTTGACTCGGAACATGCAGCATCTCTTCGGCAGTATAACCGATGGAAATTTGTGTTTTATGCGTGGGCAAAAGAGTAGCCTATTCCAGCTCTCGTATAAAATGTAACGATCGCGCATTCGACATTGGATTTTTCGATTGTCCATGCGTTGGGC